TACAAATTCTGAAAATATGTTCTTGACATCAATTCAGAGCTGAATGCATAAAAAGGGCAGCTCCTCTCAATCAGTGCATTAGGGTTAATTATTGAACCTGGATTAAGACAGCAGATTACTATTAATAAAAATGAGAAAGAATCATTAAAGTTTCTGTACTTGTAGGTTCCCGCCTGTCAACAGGGAATAGTGTTTACCAGCTGTAAGGATAATTGTAGAGAATTGAACAGCTGCATTCCCTGTATGTTGGTGAGCATCAATTGCTATAATGAGTTGAGGCAATGGATGGGGGAAGGGAGGTGATGACCGGGAGCTAAGAGTTTAGCTGAGAAATCCCTTGACTTGTATCTAACGCAGAAAGAAAAAGTAAAGGTGACTGGAAAAACAAGAGTCAGTGAGACAATACCATGGTGTAATGGTGAGCGTGCTGGTTTCTGAACCCTGCGATCCGAGTTCAAATCTAGGTGTAGCCTTGTTCCTGGTGAAGCAAGTGACGAGCCTTGGAAAGTCTCATTGGGGCGGCACAGTGGCTCAGTGGTTAGCCCTGCTGCCTCACAGCGCCAGGGATTCGGGTTCGATTCCAGCCTGGGGCGACTGTCTGTGTGGAGTTTGCACATTCTCCCTGTGTCTGTGTGGGTTTCCTCCGGGTGCTCCGGTTTCCTCCCACAGTCCAAAGATGTGCAGGTTAGGTGGATTGACCGTGTTAAATTGCCCGTAGTGTTCAGGGATGTGTAGATTAGGGGGGTGGGATGCTGTGAAGTTCGGTGTGGACTTGTTGGGCCGAAGGGCCTGTTTCCACACTGTAGGGATCTATGATGATCTTCTATGAATACTGAGTTCAGCTGGGATCGAGGATAAGTCATCAGGTACTAAGGGAAAGACAAAGAAAAAACTGAGCAGCATAATGGCAAATAAATTTGGAATCTGAAGTAATCTCAGGGGTTGGGATTTTCAAAGTAGTATGTGTTAGACTGGAAAATCTCCCATCATTTTGTCCTCAGTGGATCAAGGAATAGTTACAGGAGTGATGTGACATTTTATATACAATATCTTGGGGATTCTTTGGGTTCAAAGTAATGCTCCATCCCTTTTCCAGACTTTGTCTTGGCATGTCCCTTACAATAGGGGTCATTTTGATTTTAGATGATAATGCAAAAAACTCAACATTAATGCAGCCACCCATCAAAAATATCTCCTGATTTTTCATTTCTGTTAACTTAATATTATGATTTTCTCTCTGCACAGGTTGTTCTATTCGTGGTGTCAGCATCCTTCCACTTTCATATTAAACTTTTCTTCACTCTTTGTTTGTCATTCTGTTTTATTTTGCCCACTCTACGCCCTGTATATATTCCAACTTTATGTTACTTTGTGCAACCTCCCTTTACTTATATGTTAACTCCTGACCTTTGTTGAGGATATTTTGAAAGAAAGAACATGAATTTCTATAATACCTTTTACTCCCCCAGGATGTATCAAAATCCTTTTCGGCTAATGATGTCCTTTTGGAATGTAGCCATTGATACGGTGTCGGCCAACAGAGCAGACAGGTGCACAATATGGTTTGTCCAACAACAATGAAGAAAATGACCTGATAATGTGTTTTAATGTTGAAGTATTCTAATCAGTAAGAGGATCTTCCTAGCAAACCCTGTGAACAGGGACCACTGAACCATCTTTTAAGTCTTTCTTTCCACACATAACTTTGATGTGTTTTTTTGTAGAGGGAGAGCTCATAAGTGGGCTACAACTGTATACATGTCCATGGTTCAAAATTGTTCATCTGTAGTTAGAATGTACTTATTTGTAATAAGTAGTAATTCTTGTTAAGTACAGAAAGCTGGTCCATGCTTTCTGTCAACTTGGGTCTAAAGGACAGGGAAATTTTGGAATTCCGTATGATTTTTAAAATTATTTAACTTTTGTGATGACTCCAGGACTGGCATGGTGGCTCAGTGGTTAGCACTGCTGCATCCCAGCACAGGGAAATCGGACGACTGTGCAGAGTTGCACATTCTCGATGTGTCTGCGTGGGTTTCCTCCAAGTGCTCCAGTTTCACAGTCCAAAGGTGTGCAAATTGTCCTGTAGTGCCCAGGGATGTGTAGGAGAGTTGGATTAGCCATGGGATATGCAGGGTTACAGAGATGGGGTGGGTCTGAGTGGAATGCTCTCCGAAGGGTCAGTGTGGACTTGATGGGCCAAATGGCCTGTTTCCACACTGTAGAGATTCTACGAATAGTGAGACTTCATTTCAAGTGCACTACCCCAGTGAGATATAACAATGTCCAACAAAAAGAGGTTGCATTCAACAGCAAAAGCTCAGCAAGAAGGTTACATCTCTGCCTTATTATGGAGTGTAAGGAAAGCATGAGATTAAAGAAGAGGCTTATAATGCTGTAGAGACTGTCAATCTGATGATTAGGAATGTTTTAGGAATCAGTAAAGGGTTCTGACCATACACCAGGCATTTCCTCAAAGTGATCCATGAATGATAAATTTGGACAAACTTGAATACTTTCTCCTTTTAATTATAATTCTAATTTAAAAGTGAAGGACAGCGCAGCCTTAAGCTTTAATCTTTTGTTGAAATTTACTTCTCTCTGAAGTGCTAAAATAAAAGGGTTGAAATGTGAAGTTGGATCCAGCAGCTCAATGGTTTCTGGTTGAGCCATTGGAGGTTGCTTCCATTGGAGGTTGACTCAAATCAACAGAACAGATCATGGAAATGAGTGGAGGTTCCTTTACCTCACTCTTACAGCACTGCAAGCTGTATTGTTTAGTCACCCATTGCAGTACAGCAGCTCCTTTAGCTTTTTCCTTTTGTCTTTGATTCTTTCCTCTATCTTCCCTGTTGAGAAGCCACTTCTGTTTCAAGACATGTCTCTCATTCTATTCAGATGGTTCTTTTCCTCAAAATGGCTGTTTCCAACCATCTTTTAATATGATAAAAAAAAACTTCAAATATTAATTTTGAACAATCATAGAAAAGTAAATTATGCAGGAATTTGTTTTGATGATCTTCCTCCCGTTTTCTATTCAACACTATCGAAACTTCAAGTCTTCACCAGTGTACAGCTCTGGAATTCTTGAATTATTTATTGATCCTTTGTGATTGTTTCCTAAGATTCTTAAGTCTGTTTGTCTGTTTCTGCTGCAGTTGAGTCCACAAGAAAAGTTTTGTGGATATCTGTCCAGCATTCTTTGCCATTTCTAGGGAAAAGCTGCCTGAACCTGGACCCCCTGGAACAGCAATTGCATTAAACATTGAGACACCTTCAGTCTTTAGGTTTTCAAAGTGTTAAGAACAAAGAACAAAGAAAATTACAGCACAGGAACAGGCCCTTCGGCCCTCCAAGCCTGCACAATTTCAACTGCCGCTTGAGTCTTAGGGTCAGCAATGACAGACATTATTTTACAAGCATATGCTGGGCTATACACCTGGTATAAGTCCTTCAAGATCTCTCCCTGATACAAATTTACAGTCTTAATTCTTGCATTTCATTACAACGTTTTTTTAGTTTGCTTGTCATTCATCATCTTAATACTTTTATCACATATGTTTACAGTTACCATGCTTGGTAATGACCCTTTCATCTTCTCATTAGCTTCAGGCTAATCAAGATTTATCCCACCATGAGTTTAACAATGTGTCCTATATATTTCATTATCGTGCTGAGACTGTCGATTTGAGCTGTGAAGGTTTTTAAGTTTTACAACTTATATTCTTATCCAGGATTTGATACATATCTCATCGTCCTTCGAAAAGGTGTTCATTGTTATATTTGGTTATATTAAGGCTGTTAGTGTGCATTTAAATATCAATCTTAATAAATTGTCTCACCTCATTGAAGTTCAACTCAGCCATTCACCACTCAACCTCACCTTAGTCAGCATTGCAAAGCAATTGTCGACTAATAGTTGAAACAATTACAGGGATTGTAGCATTAAATAATTGTAGATGGAGAATCTGGATTTCTTGAAGCACTTTCTGATGAATGCTGTTTAAATAAATGTCACTAGATTGTATAGAATTAGGAGTTCATGAGGAGCTGGATATGGAAGGAAAACATAAGCTTTTGCCTGGTAACTTAGTAGTGAGGCACTTTATAAGCAGTAGGTGGCTTTATTTTGAAGCCTCAATCCTTTTATATTGGAAACGGCAATTAACTAACGTGTTGTGCTTTACTTGTTTCAGCAGCTGGACTTTGACCCTTCTATGAAACATTCTCTCCTTCCTAACACCATCCTGGGCTATAGGACAATAGGTGCTCCCTCCCCCTTGTCACTGTCATGACCATTATTCCCTTCAAGTTCCAGAATGAGAAAACTACTACTCTTCATGACAGTGCTATGAAACAGTAAACATGCTCACCTGATCCTTCTAGAGACATGCAAACAGTGATAGGGTGAGAAGAGGAGGAGTGAGCCTCATTAGCTGCATTCATTGCCACTGTAACTACAGGGGATACACAACGTCAAACTGCAAATAGCTGCCTGCATCAAACAATATTGGTTTGGATGTCTATCAGTTCCTGTCCAATTTCCAACCTCTTGCCAATTCATTTGCCACCCCTTTGGTGCCCTTAATATAACCTCCTTGTTTTTATACTGTGTGTCCTTATTAGTAAAGCCTAGGGTGACTAAACTGACTGGCCTGTAGATGCTGGGCATATTCTATGCACCATTCTGCTTCACTTGCTGCCCCAATCACATTCTTCTCATTGCCTTGCCTGTTGACCCTCTTGAAAATTCACTCACTGCCATGCTTCTTGAATAAAGTGAGGCAGTGAGAAGAACAGCGAGGGGGTAGTGATGGATAGCAATCCAGAAGGAGAAAATGGATGGGAGGACATTGTAGCAACAATGTCCACAGGCACACAAAGATGGCACCAACAATACCAACTTCCTATTCCAGTGTGGCACTTCCTGCTCCAGTGCAGTGGTAGGAAATACAGTTAGGGATCAAAACAAAATGAATTCTCACATGGAGTCAGGTGGCATGACTGAGGTATTAAACGAATACGTTGCATCTGACTTTACCAAGGAACAAGATGCTGTACGAGCTTTGAAATAGGCTGCATGAAGAGTATAAAATTAATGAGGAACTTTTGGACAGACAGTCTGTATTTACGGCTGATAAAGTAGGAGGACTGAATCAGATGCATCCCAGGATGTTGAGAGGAGAGAAAGTAGAATTCTGGAGGAACTGACCACAATTTTCCAGTTTTGCTTCGACATAAGAGTGGCACCCGAGGACTGGAGAATTGCCCGTGTGACACCCTTGTTCAAAAAATAGAGCATGGATTAAGCCCAATCCCTTGATCCTGCTAACAAAGACAGGTCTGTGCTACAGGTGAATCTTATAGGGGATTGGTGGTTTTCTTTTGTAAAAGTAAATACAGCTACACTTTTCCTGTGCCAGATTTGTGGCAGTAGGTGTGTGATCACCTTTGTAACAAGGAACTAATCTGGCTTTAAAAGATTGGCTTGAGTCTGGAACATGAAAATGAACTCCTCAACTTTCCTTCATAACAGTGGCATAGAGCATGCTCGGTTCAACTGGGAGGCAGACTGGGCTTTAGATCAATGTTTCATCTGAAAGTCAGCACTTCTGGCAATGCTGCACTCTCCCAGGCATCGAATGTCAACCAAGATAATGGGGACAATGTGCACATTGTGCTTACCCGTAGAATGTAATAATGGATTAGAGAGAATGTTTGACTTGAGGATAATTGCCAAAGAAAACCATTCTTGTTACTATGATTTAATGAACAGTCTTATACTTGGAAATGAAAAGGGATCATCTGATTAAAAAATGTGGTTAAATTACTTATAGAAAAAGAAAATTGACTTCAAGTTAATTAGAATTTAAGTAACAACAGAAGTAAATAAGTTTTATTACACAACAAGGCATTTACGCACTCAAAAACAATTCTAATGTTGCAGAAATGGAAAGGTATGACAGTAGTCTTTGCAGCCAACAAAGTTTCTGAACCACAGCTCAGAAGGTAATTATCTGGAACTGTGTATGGTGTCATGGTGACATTGTGTTGATAGTTACATTGCCATTGTACAAGGCACCTTTGTTCACTGCATACTTTTGTTATTTGCAAGAGTTTATAGCCTTCAATTAGCAAGACCAGGAGCAACAGTGGAAGCAAACATGAGATTTTTGCCAAGTTTTGGGATTTGGGGCATGGTAGAAGCAGGGGGTTTGTCTGCAAAGTCAGGGTGTGTAACATCAAGCTAAGATTTTGCGATTGTGAAAATCAAACTCTTGCTCATGAGCATCTGAGTAACGGGTATATTCCAAATGTGCTGCTTCAAATTGCATCATACTTTTGACTTTTGCAGAAAGTCCTCAGTGCAGTTGTTAGTTCCAGCCATGAACTCCTTGCAGCATGCTGCAGTCTGCATCTCCTGCTCACATAAGCACATACTGCAAAATATCATAGCCTAGTGCTTTGAAGAAGAAATGCAGAGTGGGAGACAAAACACGACTGAGGAAAGACTGAAGAAGGGTCTAGGCCTGAAACGTCAGCCTTCCTGCTCCTCTGATGCTGCTTGGCCTGCTGTGTTCATCCACCTTGTTATCTCAGATTCTCCAGTATCTGCAGTTCCTACTATCTCTGAGGAAAGACAAGTGTCTTGATTATGAGAATGCAAGCCAGCACTGTGGAGAGATCTGTACATTTATAAGCCTTACTCTACATGTCTCATGAGTTGCTGTTTGTATATTAAGATTTACATTAGTCAATTGCTCCAATTGAACAGGTGTGATAACATGTATGGATAATGCAAAGTACTGTATCGTGCAGCTGTGATTGAATAAGGGTTCTCCCTACTTACTCTGTAATATCAAAGCATCCTCACATTCTGGAGTGATGTACTACAGGGTGAGATCATTAGTCATCATTAAGATTTGTCTCTTAGCAATGACACAAATACAATAGTACTGTCCAGTGTTTCATATTCACTATCATATCCATTAGGGATATTCAGTCAGATCAGCTACAATCTCTCTGCATCCAAGGATAGGGAGACACGGGCAAATTTCATCTCAGAAGGCAATTTTCCAGAACCTGTAGCCGTACAAAAACATTACGGTCAATCTTAGGAGTGGTTCAGTAGGATTGGTGGGTTTCTCAGAGGTAATTCACAATAGTGACAAATTTCCCTTCAAGTGTAAAATTAATAAATAAATCAATTCAGCCACTCATTACATATCTCTCCAACTGAAAATCGGGAGAGATGTATAGTGAATGCGCAAATTGATTAGCAAATCACCCAAAGTCAAGCTTAGGCTCAGAGAGTTATCTGGTGTCTTGCTGTGCTGTAAAGCTAAAGGCTTTTGTTACAACTAAGATAGGGGGAAGTGAATGGATTCCTTTCCTCATCCCACCCTCCACTAGTCACAACAATGTTTGAATTTAAAAAGGGAGGTGATATTTTCAACTTTATAACTCAGTAGCAGAAATAAGGCAGCCGGGTTCTTCAAGTAAGAAATAAAAATCAAATTTATCGCAAACTTTGTCAAGCAAAGGTGTAGTGCTTCTTAAAAAACAAGTTTTAATGACAAATATATTCACTTATTGAAGGATAACACACGCATACACACACCCATAATCTTCAAGTCTGGGAAAAGTATAAAAGCTCTGCAGAGTGTTATCTTAAAAGCACATTGGCAAAGTAACATTTAAATTTGGAAAAAAAAGAATTATCCGCAAATTGCCCAAATGGTAGTCTGCAGTCAAAGTCACTCTGCACACAAGCTAATGGCACTGGAGTGTCCTTTTGGATCAGTTATGCCTGGCTTAATTTATTTTACTGGAGACAGTGGCATAGATTCCAAATTCTCTTTTAGGAACCCTCCACTTGTGGTGATAAATTTTTCTGATGGGTTTGCAACTCACACAATTTGGTAAGAAGGATTTCGGATGAGAGAGAAAGAGAGAGAGAGAGAGAGAAAGTTTATCCAGGCAAGTTATTTCTCAGACTGCCTGTGTTCAATTCCAATATCTTTGTTCTCACCTGCAAACTGGGTCATGTGACCTTTCTTTGAAATTTTGCAGACTTAACATTTCCAACCAGCAAGCTTGTCTTCTTTGCAAATACAATATTTCTGCCGCTGTAGCTAGTGGCCTTGGCTTTGGAAAGTGTTCTTTCTAGAAGGTTAAGAAATATATGTATGTCCAATGGATGATTTATTAGAGATCTAATCATCTTCATCTTCATAACCTGATGGAAACCCAAAATAAACACTTTAGGCAGAAACCAATGTTTGAGGAGCATTTATTCCCTGATCTTAGTAATCAGTACTCAGATTGAGTGCATATAAATCTGTCCCACACAACAGCTAATTTATACAGGGAATGTATTGGTCAATTAGTCTAAACTACTACTACTAAGAGACATGTTTCATATTTAACTCAAGGTTTTGGTAATTAAAGCTTTGCACCTCAGCTTCCCTTACTGCAGTCCAACGCCGTTGTCGAATGTCAGAAAAAACCCATCTGGTTCACTAATGTCCTTTCCGGAAGGAAACTGCCATTCGTACCTGGTCTGGCCTATGTGATTCCAGAACCACAGCAATGTGGTTGACTCTTAACTGCTCTTTGGGTAATCAGGGATGGGCAATAAATGCTGACCCAGGCAGCGATGCCCTTATCCCATGAATGAATATGAAAAATAACTCATATTACTGTTGGCTCACTGGCAATAACTTTTCCCTACTACTGTATCAAGCTTTGAGGGAGGTTGTTAGCATCTTTCAAGTTGAAACATTTTCCTATTATAACATAATAATGTGGAAAACCTGAGGCATCTGAAAGCACTACCAGTGACAAGAAAAGCAATCTAATAGCAACATCTTTTCCCAAGCTAACATGCCCAGAATTGAGATGCTAATCACTCAAAACCAGCTTTGCTGTGTGGGACATGTTGTTTGTATGGCTGACTAGATTCCCAAAGCAACTGCTTTACTTGAAACTTGACAGTAATAAGAGATTCCCAGAGGACACTGGAAACACATTAGGAATATTCTCCAAGCATCCACGAAGGGGTCTAACATACCAATGTTGATCTTCATGCAGGAATACAGCAGAAGCAAAGTTGTGCATCAAAGAGACAAACCTTCCATCTATTCAACCCTTCAAGCACCACCTGATGTAAGTGTGACAGAGTCTGCAAATTGCATATTGGACTTAGCTATCATTGCAAAGAGGCATGGAAACAAGTCATCTTTGATGTTAAGGATCTGTTGAAGAAAAATAGTATATTGCCGAGAACACAGCACTCTATGGTATCCCAAAGACTCTCATAAAGTTCCCCGCAATTGGTCTAACTGTGTGAAGAATGGTTTCGAATACTAATATCTGTGCAGCAACCAGGAAGACATTTGTTTCATTCTTGTGATGTTTTACGGGGTTATGGAACATGACAAAGTCAGATAATCAGATAAGTTTTTGATTGTACACTTGGTTTCCCAAAACTTAGTTCTCTCACTGTGCCTCATTCTCAAACTATTATGGAAAGACTGATTGCTAACAGTATTGGTGTAATGTGTACCCCCAGGAAAATTGACACTTGCATAATTTTATAATGGCTACACCACATTCTTGAATCTATCAAATAAAATCTTTTCAGTTCAGATAACTTAGACTTGGTGCCCAAGTAGATACATGTTTGTGTCTCCTGGAAAAACTCAGTATATATCTACTTCTAGTCAATTCCTTTGAATTGTTGATACAGCAACAAACAAAAATCCTGCTTTTGTTATAGTTCTGATGCTACAACTAACTGAACAGATACAGTGACATCAAGCTTAAAGGCTTTAATTGGATTGATCTGAGAAAATATCTGTGGCCTGTTCTGGCCTTGAGTTTCAAACATCATACATCCAACCATCATTAAAATCATTTTCGTCCAGCTACATCATTTGTCTCTACCTTTACCTCATCTTACCAATTACTCGATGACTCTTAGCTCTCTGCTTTTATTACCTCCTTACTCAACTTCATCAACATCCTCTTCGTTGGCCTCATGGCCAAACCCAAA